CTAGAACTGACGTTTCTATTAAATTCCACATAGTCTTGCTTTCCCAAAGTTGGCTTCATTCGGGCTGAAGTGGACGGCAGTCGAGCCATTAAAAAATTAATGAAAATCTAATTTCTACTCAAATAATTGTGGGCAAATTCAAATGCAAGTTCCTTAGTCACCTTAAACGAAATGGGATGAATACATCACATATGAATGATTTGCCGATTTTCCATAAAATCCACTTATAAACAAAAAATAAGAGGTGAGCATTTTTCAGCAGATTGCATTTGTCAGGAGAGTCCCAGCGCCCTTCGGTGTCGCCTTAATCTCATCTGCCACATCTCTTCTCTTTCACACTCGCCCTGACGACAGAGTCGTCTTGCCCATCTGTCCAGTTCAAGCTTGGCAACAGGCACCAGACCTCCCAGGGGAGGGGTAGACAGAAGATAAATTGCCGAGCGGAGCGGCAAAGAGATCTTTTCGACAGCCCACAATGATCCAACCACACCTACTGCATCGCTAATCTCGCCTACTCTCTGCGTCCACACCCTTCGCCAAAACTGGCCGACTTGTGTCGCCGACCCACCTGTCCGGTTGGAACAGGCCTCGGGGGCAATGCGAGGTCGGCCTAAATCATCTGCCCACGGCCGAGACGACCCGATGCAGTTGGAAGCGAAAGTGGTGACCAGACGGCAACTACGACAAAGACGGCCCCCTCGGAAGTGGACATGACCTGCTCGTGTCTGGGTGGTATCGCCGGTTCGGAGAGCAGTGAGGGCAAGAGAAAAAGTGTAGACCTTGTTTGCACAACTGGATCCTCTTGAACATGTCATGTTCCAAGTCCTCTGTCATACACATGATCGTTTCCAGCGTCGGACAATGGATTTGGTAGATGGCTCCCAGTCAGGAGTGGGCCAGGACAGAAAAAGAAAGTTCGTTAAGTATAACCAACGGATCGAATTTTGGGTACCTTCTTCGAGGTCTCACTGGCACGAAGGTGAAGTTGCAAAAATGAGGTCAAACAGATTCCAAACAGTAAAATGAGATTTTTGGCCAGACCCTCATTTTGTGTGAAAGTGTAAAATGAATAAATTCGAAGGTCAACCACACCAGAAGACAACGCCTGATTCCCACTATTCTGTAGTCGTGTCATGCATTACTACAACCTCAAGCTGGCACAGTCCACCCCTCATTTTGGGTTAAAACGGACTGACCTTCAGTTCATCATAGAATGGACATCATCAGAGCTGAAACCCATTCTTATAAAAGTCTCACGTTAACACCAGGTCAAGAAGACTATCTGTCTCTATCTCACCTTTATAAAGACTCATAATTGAAAAAACGAAAATGTATAGGCACAACAAGATATAGAATGGTTTCACTAATTAACTTTCATGTTGGTCATGCTACTCTTATTCCTGTGTGTGTGTGTATGTGCGCCTGTGTTAACGCCGATACGCAATACATGTTGTAAATCAGAGTGATGAAAAAAGCCTAAGATCAGACTTTTCTCGTCGAGGCTTAACCACCCAAAAACAACGGGAATCAGGCGTTGTCTTATGGTGAGATCGACATTCGAAACTCTCTTCAGCCACTTTCATGCACAATGAAAGTCTCTTCAACACTGTTGTCTCAGGAGATTCATCTACAGTAAAAAGAGAATAGGAACTTAGTCACCTTATGTCGCTGATTTATGAAGTACTAGTTGAATTGATTAATTTAATCTACAATAATTACTGATATCTTCGAAAGTTGCTAATGTCGAAAGCATATTTTTGCTTATTAGACTAACCCATTAGAAAAATGTGAGCTCGGAAAGGCGTGGTTTAATGAGATGTATTCACCCTATTTCGTGTAAGGTGATGAAGGACTGGTAGTAGAATTTTCCCAC